GCCCTTCCTGGGCTGAACTGGGGATCAGGAGCCCTTCCTGGGCTATACTCGGGAACAGGATAGCGCATACGTGGTGCTGGCACTGGAGGGCGCTCGGGAGGCGCAGGCACAGCAAAGCGCTTTCGAGGAGCTGGCACTGGAGTGAGTTTAGGGGCTGGAGCCGACACTGGAGCGAGCTCTGGGGCTGGAGCCAACACTGGAGCGAGCTCTGGGGCCAGGAAACAAAAAACTTTCAAAAACACGATAATTAAACACGGGGAAGGGATGCCGCTTACTTTCAGTTTTGGTCCGGTATTCTGTCACGGGTGCACTGCTGAGCGGACTGTGGAGCAAGGAACGGAGAGAGACGAGGAGTACATTAATCCAAATGGGTTTAATAAACACAAAGGAACACTCACGCTATACATGACATGAACAATACCGGACCCTGGAGCACACACAGGGAACCCTATTTATACACACAGGAGGAGGGGATGACGAGACACACCTGGGAGCAATGAAACATCAAGGGAAACACCTGGGACAAATGAACTTAATCAGGACAGGAACAGGAAACTAACCAAATATGGGCATAGGAAGGCACATGGGGAGCAAGACACACACAAAACACGGAACAAAGTCTGACAGTTATACTATATCAGCGTCTTTAAGACACTCAAGACCTCTGCTGCAGAATGACCTACATGCCTACAGTTATTTATAGCATCATTCATTTTTTACACTCAGTTTGGGAGTATGACAATACTTTGAGGAAAAAAAACATAAGGTAAAAAAAAAAATTCAGGGCATGACTGCATTGCAAATTTACTCATGAATACAGTTTGTGCAGTTGCAAGTTTTCAGCAGATTTAACAAAAAATTGCAGATATGAAGGTTGATGGATAGTATTTAGAAGATGCTTTCTGAAATTAATGAGGCCATTTTTATCTGAGCTGCAATGTGAATCAGCAGATAGGAAAAATGTATTTCTATTTCATATTTTTTCACATTTTGTGGCAGTCATGGCCTAATGGATAGAGTCAGACTTGTAACCTGAAGGTTGCGGGTTCGGGTCTCAGGTCTGGCAGGGATTGTAGGTGGGGGGAGTGACTAACCAGCACTTTCTCCACCTTCAATACCACGACTGAGGTGAGACCCTTGAGCAAGGCACTGAACCCCCAACTGCTCCATGGGTGCCGCAGCATTGCCTGCCCACTGCACTGGGTGTGTGTTCATGGTGTGTGTGCACTTGGATGGGTTAAATGCAGAGCACAGATTCCGAGTATGGGACACCATACTTGACCATATGTCACTACACTTTCACTTTCATATTCTACCAGCAGGGGCTACTGGGGTCATGTTGAACAGCCAAACCTTAAAGAAACACTCCACTATTTTTGAAAATAGGCTCATTTTCCCCTAGAGTTAAACAGTTGAGTTTTACCATTTTCGAATCCATTCAGCCGATCTCCGGGTCTGGCGGTAGCACTTTTAGCTGTAGCTTAGCATAGATAATTGAATCTGATTAGACCGTTACCTAATAGATTTATTTATTTGTTTGTTTGTTTGTTTGCTTGCTTTACATTTTTAAACAATTTTATTTATTATTATAATATAATTTTATTATTTTTATTTATTAAAAATATCTTTAGTTACCTTCGTATTGATTTTTCTTTTTCTTTTTTTCTTTTTTTTTGGTCACTGTACTATTTGTTAAAGAAGGTAAAATGCATCCCTCCTGGCTATATAATTATACAATCTTATAAATGTTCTTTTATGAGTCATCTGGCTGGAAAACCCTGTTTGTACGTTTTATTTTTTTTAAGAGAGTACTGCATATTACCTTATAGACATAGACAGCTTTGTTCCTGTATGCCACTGCTGAGAGGAAAACATGTCCTTTCAAAGTCTGTCAGACATCACAGTCAGTCAGACAGACAGTCTGTGTACATGGATCAGTTATTTAAAAATGCTACAGACCGAATACAAGAACTTGTCGTGTGTGAATAGCCCCTAAAGACTTATTTGGGATTTTTTTCCCCTGCAAATGTTGATGTACAAAATGCACAAATGTGATTAATTTGATTAACTAATTGGTAAATTATGTAATTAATTTGATTAAATTGTTATCCTTCAAATCACTTCTCGTCAAATCATTCTGCAGTGAAGCTTTCCTGTTCTGCTGATTTTTGTTTGAATTCAAACAGAGAACGGAAAATGTCCTATAAACCAGCATGGATTCCATAATAACAATATTGCTGAATTTTAGCTTGACTAAATAGGAAAGCTCAAATAAATCATATCTGAACACATACTGCAGAAAACGGCAATTCTTTACACAATCTCCTTTTCCACTCACACATTGTCAAGCAGGAACACAGACCTCCGGAGATTCAAGCTGCCACGTAAAAACATCATTATCATCTGTCCCGTGGGTTGAACCGTCTGGCTGTGCAAGTTTTATTTAACAAAATTCTATTCATGGAACTTAAACAAGTCTTAGGGAGGAACGCAATCAGAACCCCAATCAAAACTCATTTCAGATTAATAATAACTCTTCAGTTATTATATATTATATACTTCAGAGAGTATGCTTGACTGCACTAAAGAGCATTTGTGGGGATATTTCCCACAGTGCTTAGCTATTCCCAGACTGTCTGTCAGTTATTCAACAGTTATACATTATAAAGGAAAATACTGTAATAATCTATTAACATGACACTAAAGAATTGCTCTCTCTTAGAGGAATAGTTTACACAAAAAATTAAAATTTGCTGACAATTTTCTCATCCTCTTCTGGCTACTGTTTACAATGAAGACGATTCCAAAATGTTCTAAACAAATATGTGGGTGAATTTTGATGTGAGAGGACAATGGGGGAAAGACGATGGATTATGGACTCATATTTTGGCCAGAAGAGATGGTTTAAAGTTAAAATGCCCTAATGATGGATTTATTTTTTTACGAATATGCAGCTTTCCACATCACAGGACATTAATTGATGGCCTCTTTTTGGACTCTCATTCTGACGGCACCCATTCACTGCAGAGGATCCATTGTTGAGCAGGTTATGTAATGCTAAATTTCTCTAAAATCTGTTCCCATGAAAAAACAAACTCATCTACATCTTGGATAGCCTGAGGGTGAGTAAATTCTAAGCAAATGTTCATTTTGGGGTGAAGTATTTCTGTAAAACAGTAAAAAAAAAAAGAGTCGTGATCCAGAAATGTAAGGTCTGATCTGAAACGAGTCGGAAACAACAAGAAAAACAAATAATAAAATGGAACGAACCTCATACTGGCTGGGAAAATGGAGAAGAAAGCACTTATAAATCTGTTTCCTTTAACAAAACCATTTGAGAACCACAGCTTTAATGTGGGTAAATGCTGTAGGTCTGCTCAGAAGACCATTTCCTTCCTGTCCTTGACTATATTTTATTACAGTAACACGGTTAAGATTTCCGCATGGCAAACACACATAATCATCTTTAGTTAAGGCCAAGCTGAGCATGAACACATCAGCTGCCAACCAATGAACTCCCCACCTGTCCAGCCACAAGAACCATATGTGTGTGTGTGTGTGTGTGTGTGTGTGTGTGTGTGTATGATAATGTTGTCACAACCTGTTTGTTGGGACTGATTCTTGATCTCTCTCTTCCTAGTCTGGATGCAGAACTCTTGGTCTTGTATAAACTGGGAGATAATAGCACAGTCCAGATGGATAGCATGCACCTGATGGGGGGAAAAGTATGAATCCATATGCACATTAATCAGCATAATCTACAGACTAGATTAAAAATTGTTTAAATTAGTGGGTGACTTGGCTCATCAGCTTTTTAAAGTAATCCACAGTTGTAAACAGATTTTAAAAAGTCATGCTTCTCATCTCTATTGCCCAATATGACTTAAAATAAAGTCGCTTGTCTACATTTTTCTATTATTATATGAAATCAGTCAGTTCAAATTAAGTGTAATGGGCTGAAATAGGAATCAAACGGTTGGTACAGTTTTCTTTTTATTCTATCTCTAGTGGAAAAGAAAGGATGCGGTTTTTGTCAGAATTCTACGTTTAACGTCATGATAAAAAATTCAATATGATGCCTTTAGGATTTTTTGTGTGTGTGTGTGTGTGTGTGTGTGTGTATGATAATGTTGTCACAACCTGTTTGTTGGGACTGATTCTTGATCTCTCTCTTCCTAGTCTGGATGCAGAACTCTTGGTCTTGTATAAACTGGGAGATAATAGCACAGTCCAGATGGATAGCATGCACCTGATGGGGGGAAAAGTATGAATCCATATGCACATTAATCAGCATAATCTACAGACTAGATTAAAAATTGTTTAAATTAGTGGGTGACTTGGCTCATCAGCTTTTTAAAGTAATCCACAGTTGTAAACAGATTTAAAAAAGTCATGCTTCTCATCTCTATTGCCCAATATGACTTAAAATAAAGTCACGCTTGTCTACATTTTTCTATTATTATATGAAATCAGTCAGTTCAAATTAAGTGTAATGGGCTGAAATAGGAATCAAACGGTTGGTACAGTTTTCTTTTTATTCTATCTCTAGTGGAAAAGAAAGGATGCGGGTTTTGTCAGAATTCTACGTTTAACGTCATGATAAAAATTTCAATATGATGCCTTTAGGATTTTTACAAGAGACGCATTCGTGACAATATTACCATAAGCGTCTAAAATGTATTCTTATAGATGCGCGCAACTCAGTAACCGTTTGCAGAAAACTGAGCAAGACATTAAAAACGACGGTACAAGTTCTGTTCGTTCTGACAGAAATCTATTATAATTAGTTTTACATAATGGTCACTTGTACAAATTAAATACGTAGCAAATGTTTAACATTAAATAGCCTACTTACAGCTCTCCAAAAAGTCGCGAATAAACACAGGTGTAGAACAGTCATATTAAAGCCAAGAGTGTGTGAAGACCCAAGAACACAGAATATCCCTGTAACTCCTCAAACAGAGTGATCTGCTCCTCTTGAATTCGCACTCGACAGACTGAAGTCACACTCGCTATCTCTCTCTTCCACTGATGTGCGTCCTCATCACAGGGTAGTGCAGCGCGCGCAGTCGGATTGACTTTAAAGGGGTCATATGACGTTGCTAAAAAGAACATTATTCTGTGTATTTGGTGTAATGAAATGTGTTTATGCGGTTTAAGGTTCAAAAAACACATTATTTTCCACATACTGTACATTATTGTTTTTCCTCTATGCCCCGCCTTTCTGAAACGCGTCGATTTTTACAAAGCTCATCGGTCTGAAAAGCGAGGTGTGCTGTGATTGGCCAGCTATCCAGTGCGTTATGATTGGCCGAATACCTCAAGCGTGTGACGGAAATGTTACGCCCCTTACCATACTGTGATGATGCCCTGTCAGGCCCGAGCAATGATTCAAAAACAATAAAACCCACTATAAACGAGGCATTCGTTGCATCCAGTGGCAACGAATCACACAGCGCCTTCACGACATGGCGGCGGCGGTAACAATACTACAGCGAGAATAAAAGTTACGCCTTCTTTCTTTGCGTGAACATTTGGGCCGTGTTATGCAAATCTACCCACATCGTGACGTAGATATGTGGGGGCGTGTTAGAACGAGCCGTTTTAGGTAGGCGTGGCTGACTCTTAACTTTTATAAAGAATATCTCTTTGGATTTGAGACTTTAGTCTTTGCAACTTTACAGATCTTCTTTATGCACCAAGAGCTTGTAACACTCCAAAGAGAAAGGAAAAATTGAAATCGCATCATATGACCCCTTTAAAATGTAACCCAATTTCACAGCTGAACATATGAGCAGCTGCTTGTGAAATGCATCTGGAGAAATGCTGAATGCTCGTTTCAGAGATGTGTGGATTTCTGTCGAGGTAAGTTACTTTTGAAGCTTGATGGACATTATTTAACATAACACCTCTTTTTAGGTTGTTAAAAAGGGGCAGATGTTTCAGGGGAGATGAAATGTCGCCTGGCAAATGTGAATAATTGAACATAGCATTGGTAGAAACACTGAGCCATTTCTAGGGATTTTGTTGAGAAGACCAGGATTGGTTGGCACATGAGTTGGTTGGCACAGTTTTCATTCCATGTTGAATATCTCTGGTGGAGCAGACAGATTACACAACTGGGTTCAAATGAAAGCAAAGGTTTATAAAAAAGACTTATAAATGTTACCTGAATTTGTATAATTAATGACTAAAGTTATGTTGTGTGATTTTGCCACCCATCCCCAGCAGGAATGCTTGGTACAGGTTGAAGTACAGTGCTTAAAGAGAAGCAGCTAATAGAAAACGTAATGCTTTAAATAAATAATGAATGAATGAATTAATAAAAATAAATAAATAATAAAAATAAATAAAAAACAAAAAAACTAGCAACATATAACCCACATTTGTCATATATAATTATTTTTGTGTTTAAATATGATATTTGACTGATTTTAACATTTCCTACTTTCACTCTAAAAAATGCTGGGTTAAATATAACCCAGCGCTGGGTTATATTTAACCCAGCATTTTTTAGAGTGTTCATTTAAAATTGTTTTCATTCACTATAGGCTTTGCTCCTCTATATTACACCAAATATTTTTCTCTCAATTTCTTACATTTTAGATGAAGTGGTTCATTTTTTTATTTTATATAGAAAATGTATAAGTTGTCATCACCTTGATTAGTTTTTACCCTTTAATGATAGAATAGCTCAAAATGCAGACTTTAACACTTTGGAAACATGCTCTCTGACACTCTTAAAGATGTAAAACTGTACTGCCACTTTGTCCAGATCAATCAGATGGAAAATGGTGCTAGTTAAGAGCACTTTATGAGTAATTATTACCATGGATCAACTTTTGATACACTCTTGAAGAAAGATTAGAAAACTCAAACCTAAACATATAATTCGTAACATTGATCCATCCATCAGTTCTCCAAACTGCTTACACACATAAGACATTCAAAGGCCTTCTGGCCCAACCAGAACCATTAAAAAAAAAAAAAAGACTCCTTAAACAGACCAAGATGGCCGCCAATTGAATTGAATTGAAATTGAATAAAGCCAGTCTGCTTTTTCCAGATCAATCAGCTTGAACATGGTGATCCTAGTTAAGGATACTTTATAATTCACTATTTTACTTTGCATACTTTGTTCTACATTTGCGAAGATGACCATCTAAGGATCAGTTTCAGACCAGGATGGCCGAGTGGTTAAGGTGTTGGACTTAAGATCCAATGGACAAATTTCCTCGTGGGTTCAAACCCCACTCCTGGTAGATGCTTTAGGCAGTTTAAAACAGGGGTTAGTGTGAGGTTTAGCCTCAGACTTGAGTTGATCCAGAATGTAATCAACAGATTCCACAAGGTGAAGATGTTGTTAAAGGAACACTAGAACCCTTGTCTCATGCCACTCTGATTTGCCCACGTCAATAAGCTAGAATGTGGCAACAGTTAAGGACACTTTATGGTTAATTGTTTTTCCATTTGAAAGATGACCATATTAGCATCCCCATGGGGCCAGGATGGCTGAAGGGTTAATGTGTTGTACAGTACTTAAGATTCAGTGGACAAATGTGCTTGTTTTCAAACCCCACGTCTGGTAAAAGCTTTAGACCACTCATGGGGTTAGTATAACGTTTAGTCTCAGGCTGGACTTATTCCAGAATGTGAACAAGCACACAACCTTTCCCAAAGGTAAAAACGTTGTCATAGGAACACCTAATGGTCGTACTCCACTCCAAAAAGCCACTCAGATCAATTCACTAGAATGTGGCCATCCTAATTAAGGATGCTTTATGATTAGCTGTTTTCCTTTACATTGTTCTATGTTTGAAAAATAACCATATAAGACTCAGTTTCAGACCAGGTTCAGAGTGGTTCAGGTGTTGGACTTAAAATCCAATGGACAAGTGTCCTCGTGGGTTCGAGCCCTACTCCTGGTACAAGCTTTAGGCTATCCAAAACAGGGTTAATGTGCGATTTAACCTCAGACTTGAGTTCATCCAGAATGTGAACAGTAGGTTTTACAAGGTGAAGATGTGCTTAAAGGAGCACAAGACTGTCTCACTTCACTCCAAACAGCGACCCTGTTTTGCTCAGATCATTTCGCCCTTTCCATTTTGTTTTCATCAATATTTGAAAAATGGCTTTATGGGATCAGGATGGCTGAGTGGTTAATGTGTTGTGTTTAAAATCCAAAGGCAAATGTCCATGTGGTTTCAAACCCCACTCTTGACAGAAGGTTTATTGTGCTCTAAACTAAGAGATTGAAAAATATTTGAGTAAATTCAAAGACAAGATGTTAGTGAAAATTGATAACCAAACTATATACTTCATAATGTGGGATTAAAAGAAATCTCAAAATACAACTAGTTAATAGAATTACGGTATATCGATATTTGTTTATAATCATTACTGTCCCATTCAGCAAGACACTTGACCCAACATTTGTCCAGAAGGATTATTCCTGCATTTAGTGACTATTTATAAATTGGTTAATTTGTCAAAGAAATGCCTTTAAATTCAGATTTATTTCTATAGCCATTTTAACATTAAATTGTTCCAAATCAGATCCACAACTCCAGTGAGCAAACCAAGGGCTTTCACTTACAACACACACAACAAAGTAGATAAACAACAAAGTAACAACAAAGTAGCTTGTGAGAGAACATTTAAACCGAGATGCATTTCTAATTATTAAAACAACAATTTTGTGGAAGTGGAAGCGTATTACATGTAGACTGTATGTCTGTATCAGTAACATGATGCTAATGTGTCTGACTGTTTATGCTAACAATCACTTTTTAAAGCTTGTAAGTCTAATTAGCTTTTACATTTGCACAACTAAAGTATGAAAAGGGATACTGAGGACACAGGAAAAAATGTCTACTACTTTAATCAGACAATATTACTGCTGACATATTTGGGGATAAAAAAGATATGAAAATGTTAAAAGTATCGACCCCGTACTCGTGGTGCCAGAATGACCCTCCCTGCTGCAGTGCTGCAAGCAGGAGACCAGGATGGCCGAGTGGTTAAGGCGTTGGACTTAAGATTCAATGGACGCATGTCCTTGTGGGTTCGAGCCCCACTCCTGGTAGAAACCAACCTTCAAGAAACCTGTAATAAATATAGGCCCTTATGTTTGTATTTACAATACAACACTTTAAAGGTGTCATAGAATAGAAAACTGTGTTTACATTGGCATAGTTGAATAATAACAGTTCTGTACATGGAAATGACATACCGTGAGCCACACAGAGCACATGCGATCGCAAATCTCGAAAGTGAAAGTAAAAAACGATCGTGCATTCAAAAGCAGTTTCAATGCCCCGCATATTAACTCCCTGATGCCCGCATTTTATATACAGTATAATTACCCAACGATATAACTGCAAGAGACAGTATTGAAATATATATTTTCCCTGTGTTTCCTTCCTGTTGTGTGAGCTACTGAAATGAGCTGCACTGTGAAACAGCCAATCAGAGCAGAGCTCAACATTGAGCCGCACTGTGAAACAGCCAATCAGAGCAGAACTTAATATTATTATTCATGATCCTTCCAAATAAGGTAAAAACAGACCATTTAATTCTAGAGACAAATCATAGGGTTGTAAATGGACATGTAAAACCGTTTCTAGAGATTTTTTGCCCTTACCTAAGCCACATACCTTCTATGTAGATATCAGAGAACAATTTAAAATATTGTATCAATGCATTCTATGGCACCTTTAAATGCATATGTGTCCTAACGACAAATAATACAGTGTTTCTGTGTCGCTCTGAGATAACACCTATGGGTCGCTGCAGATTATTATTTATTATACGAGCTGTTTTTGGGCTAACTGCTCAACAGACCATTTGATATTATTGATTTGGAGTTCTGTCAAGTCATCTAAAATATAATAATAATAATAAAGATTCTGATTATAAAAGTATATGTATAAGATATTTAAAATTAGAAAATAATTAATTTCAATTTTCGAAGTACTTTATTAGAATTAATACATAAGAGTGACTGAAAAGAAAATATAATGATAAAATACAAATTTAGTTTGGTATAATAGCCTTTGTCTGAGTATGTATTAATCGCATTAATAATATGCAGCTGTTAGTTCGGGCACGAGGACGGAATGTTTCGTTGCAACGTAACTGAATGTACCATCTCTGTTCTGGGGGGTGACATACGTTCAAAAGCCTGAATTTTAATACCATTTACCAACTCGTACTTGTTGTATAAGATTAAAATCAACACTTGAGTGACGTATACCCATATTATAATGCTAAAATTGTATATCCTGCATTGCATCGTGCCATATGAGGAGTGACATTTAAAAGAAAACCCCTCTGTCAGCTATAAGTGCGCTTTACCCGGTTTCTCAGTCTCTTTCTGTAATAGGGAGTCCGGTAGAAAAGTTCAACTCGAACCGCTTGTCACTTATCAAACTCTTCGAAAGTAAGTAAAACTTTAGTTTTCACTAACACGATAGTGGTAATATATTTCACCTTTATCGTGTTACAGTTGAAGTGTTCTGCTGTGAGTGTCGCGCCACGCTCATCCGAGTTTAATCCGCTGCAGAATTTTAACCTCCTAACGTTACTTGATCAGACTTCATACACATCACATACATATACAGTTTATTAGACGTGAATAAAAAAAATGTTTCACGAGTCAACTTTCATGAAGCGTGTGGAGTTGACAGTAACAGCACACATGAAGTTTCAGTGTATGTTTCATGTGTTCATAAACGGGGTGGATCACATGAAGCATCTATAACGGATCTGTATGCGTCATCTAATCCTGACCTACAGGTCTCTGCTGGTTTAAATCTGGGTTAGACGTGTTACTGTGGTTTATTTGCTCTTCGTGTCCTACAAGCCAGTGTCAGTCTCAGTGCCTCCCGCTTTTTAATTAGCATATATAAAACGGGCATCTATTTCACTTGGTGATATGAATTTCACTACGTTTTAAAGACCAGTGTAAATTGAATGGCATTGCATGAATACAAAATAGAGTTAAATAGTATGTTGTTTCATTCTTTTAATTAAAAGACAGCTTGATAGGGGATGGCAAACAATGAATGTTAAACTTTAATTATTCTTAATTATTTAATTATTCTATTTTAAACACAATTTTTGTCTCCAGAACTGGACACTGTGTAACCAAGTACTCTGAAGTTTCAGTGTATGTTTCATGTGTTCATAAACGGGGTGGATCACATGAAGCATCTATAACGGATCTGTATGCGTCATCTAATCCTGACCTACAGGTCTCTGCTGGTTTAAATCTGGGTTAGACGTGTTACTGTGGTTTATTTGCTCTTCGTGTCCTACAAGCCAGTGTCAGTCTCAGTGCCTCCCGCTTTTTAATTAGCATATATAAAACGGGCATCTATTTCACTTGGTGATATGAATTTCACTACGTTTTAAAGACCAGTGTAAATTGAATGGCATTGCATGAATACAAAATAGAGTTAAATAGTATGTTGTTTCATTCTTTTAATTAAAAGACAGCTTGATAGGGGATGGCAAACAATGAATGTTAAACTTTAATTATTCTTGTTTTAAACAATTTTTGTCTCCAGAACTGGACACTGTGTAACCAAGTACTCTAACTTTTCATAACAACCTTATTATTGGCAAATTATTTGGTCTTGGAGGAGAGTATTTAAATAATGTCATTCACTACTCACTCATAGTAAATTTATGGGAATTTGAGAACAAAAACTGTCAACATATTTTGCATTTGACTTGGCTGCGATACTTGCTAATTTGCGCTGCTCTTGGTAGATTGCACTGGTCATTTTGTGTTCTTTAATTTGCGAATTTGCAGTAGATTACATGCAAAACCTTCCACTCCCAACTGTGCTTTTATAGGATTGTGGTCTCGTGCTAATTTGCAGTGTTTAATCAATCTGGCTCTGTCTTTTGTGGGCCACTGGTGTCAGATAAGATGGTACTTGGTGATCATTTCTCAGCCCTCCTAGTAATTGTTAAATGCTCATTGTTAAAGGGAAGGTGAAAAGCCCTGTCAGTGCTTGTTTTCTCTGAACACCTCAGCAGGTGAGTTTGGAAATGAAACGCATGGTGTGTTTGTGATGGATTCTTAGACTAAAGAATACTTGGTGGTAGTTTAGGAGTTTGGATTTAGTTTGAGTTTGAATTGACCTTTCGCAGGGAGCTTGATTGACAGGCGATCTGACCAATCAGAACGCGGATATTATGTGCCACCGCTGCTATCCGCCATCTTGCCCGACATCTACACCGGTCTCCATAGAAATCCATGTTAAAATGGGGTAAAAAAGATTGACTGAATTTAAACTTTTTCAATGTAGCTAGCTAAATATAAAAATGTGCGGAGGGTTAAGCTGTGCTGTTGTTGGCTGCCACAGTAACGGCAATAAGCTAAAGGAATTCCTTTAATTAAAGTACTTGTTTTGCGTAAACCTGTCATGTCTGGTGCTGTATGCATGGCTTGCAGCACTTAAGTTAAAATACTGAGTGTTAAATAATAAAATAATGTTAAAACGTGTGCTCTTATTATTGTGGACAAAATCCCGTGAACTTCGCCCTGATCTGGAGCTGTATTGCACGTGCGCTCATCTGTTTTCAATGCAGCTAACCTTGCGTCGCTTCATTTCATCTTCCCTCTCATTAAACTATGACAGGTCCTTTACTGCAAAAAGACAGTCATTGCGACACTGTAACACGATGAAACTACTTTTTTTAAACCATTTTCATAGGTTCCACATTATATTGTTGGCTC